GTTAGATAGGGTCCCCCTAAACCTACACCTGGATTCTTCTCCCTGCAACGCGATGGACCCGGCACCCGATCGGTGAATCCATTGAATGCTAAGTAGGTTTCCTCTGTTAGTACATAATTTTAAATAATAAGATATCATAAGTCATTTTCTTCTGGATAAAACAAATACGAAATCGAAACATGCTCAGCTGAGTGGCGTTCCATTGAATTATTTATTAAATCACTTGCAGACAAAATATATAAATCAAAGATATATAGTAAATTGAATTTAAGATCACGGGCTTATAGATTTTATGTCAATGATATTGAAGGTGGCCTTTTGTAGGGTAGCGAGGTACGGCATTTTATTATAACGGTTGAGTGCCTGTGGTGTTATATTAAAGATTTATTGCTGTAACTATTGCCGTTGCTCACTACTTTATCGCAGGCAATTATATTTTTGCTATTTCAAATAAAATGGTCAAAACGTAGTTGGTATGAATGAAAGTTAATTGAAAATATTATTATTCTACATATTTTTGTAAGCTATTAATCCGTTGTTCTTATTATTGATGATTAAGTCGTCGTTTCAAGTTTTGTTTGAGTCGATGTTAATTGCACTGGGTACATTACACGAAGAAACTATTACATATATGTGAATATCAGAGATCTGTTAATAATATCTTGAATTTTGCGAGTAATAAGAACTACTATTCTCTTATGTTTACTCGATTATATAATTTTACAATTTTACCAAAGGTAATGTATGTACTTAAATCTTTTGCTAATTTATTTCCATAAATCACACATAAATTACAGGAATTCAGGTATTGTGGTCCGTAAATAAATGTATGTATAATAATATCAAAGATTTTAAAGTTCCCATCGATGTTTTCAACAGTATTAAATAAATTTTTCACTAAGTTTTATCGAACTAGAGATAGTTCTCTCGTTTTCCATATTATATTCGGCGCCAGTGTTAGACGTTTCAGTAATTGCTTTTCTAATAACAGCAAACGAAGTAGGGGAAGTAATTCAGCACATTGAAATTGACTTATCCTTCAGGAAATTTATTATATCGGCGTGATTTTAGTTAACGCTGTCTCATCGGTAATTTGTGTAAGAAATAAAAACTTGTGCCTAGTATAAATATTATGTCATTTGATTTTATTATTCAGTACTGTAATAGAAAATCTATTAAACGGACTTTTGCCGTTCAAGTCTTGTAATTTCACGACTTCTAAATAAGGTGAAATAACGTAAGCACAAACTTATACTATGTAATATAAAAATGTAGACAAAATATTACTGATTTTAATATTATGGTATTATTGATTATGAAAATATCCATTTAAGCGATATTATTTTTATTGGATGACTTTATTTAGAGCGGGTAAAATTGCAATTTAATTTTTTCTCAATTGGAATCATTTCATTTACTTTTAGTTGAAATAACTTTGTAATAAGATGAACAATATTTTTTTTATGGAACAAGAGATTAACGAAGGTCAGATTAAATTTGAAATATAGAACTGACTATTCTATTTGTCCCTAAAAACATTAGATTCAAACTTATTAAATCGAAATTAAGTAAATTGTAATTTTTCTTTGCCATTTTAACTTGTAATTTTTGTTTGTAATTGCAACTTGATTTTACAATAATATAAATTTAGTTCAACAAAGCCAATGAAGTACAAAATTTCAGCAATTTTTTTCGTTTTTAAAACCCTCTAGGGAATACAAGAACTCAGTCATTTACTCACAAGAACTCACTCACCGTTCAAGAAGGTTACAAGAACTCCCGCTTTGACAAAGAAGCATCATTACTTTTTATGATTTTATCGTACATTTTCAAATTAAATGATCTATAAGAAACCTTTGAAAAAAGGTTTTCATTAAGCTGATTTTCTAATAAAGTAAATTAAATCCGATGAATGCTAACACAACTTCCGAGTATTGATTGAATAGGGTCTGTATTCGGTCTTGACCTGGTTTGTTGCTACCCTAAGGCTATTTAATAAACCAGGGTCGTAAGACCGTATATTCTTATGATATCTTATATTCTGATTAAAGTCTTTTATTGATTTTTCCTTTATCTCGATCCCAAATGTTATTTTCGAACTTATCCGGTAACAAAAACTTCTAAATACTAGAGTAAGAACCTTTTTAGTTTTGATATTAAAAGTTATATTTTCTGAAACGAGATATTACTAATAGAAATATTCACTTTAAGCTTGCAATAACATAAAGATCAAAAATATAAAAAGACTTCAATGTGTTCAGATGGAAAAAGTTTAATTAATATCACAATCTTGTTTTAAAAATTCCTGAAAAAGTTTAAACAATGACAAATGGTGTGAAAGTATAAAAACGTAGTATTCTTTGGATCACAAGCATTTAATTTTTAAAAATCTATAAATTTAGCATAATAAGTACGTATTATTAATTTTAAGCTAATAATAAAATTAAATAAAAACGGAGGAATATATTCCAGTAGACATTAATTTTATTTTACGTACATTTAAGAGAATAAATACTTTATTGTATATATAGTGAATAAAATGTTATACGCTCTTAGCTACTCTACTAATCACATTTAACTTTACCCCAACTCCAAGGCTGCATGTAATGTAACATGTGCCAAACGGCAAAAAAAAAAAAGAAAGAAAAATATTTGCGACCATATAGGAGAAAAACAAATTGTTATTATCTAATTTTAAGTGACATTTACCTAAGTTTGATATATTTATACAAAGTTAAATCTACACAAACTCATCTTGATTGTATCTTGTTGACGAAATAAGTCGTCTATTTAATGTAGATCCTTTCAGTTCTTGATTGAGCCGCCCTGATACCTTTATAGACTATAAAGTAAATAGCGATCACTTTATGAGATACTTGTAAGAATATTCCTAGCAATAAAGACGGTGACCCGACGTCGCGGCGCCGACACCCCCCCGGCGCTACATCCATTACAAATATATTAGTTTATATACGAACTTATATTGTTGGAAGATTTCATAATAACAAACCTACCAGATTCATACATTATATACAAATTGTACCACACAATAGCACTCTGTGAATAAAAGAGCCGTAAAAAGCATTTTCGAGCGATAAAAATACCTTTTTTGTCGAATATTGCGTTATGAATAAGATAATATAATAATTCAGATTCTGGTTCTAACTTTTGTTTAAGTTTTTTTTTTTAGTCCATATATATGTATGTATAAAAGATTTTACTAATCACAAGTCAAATATCAATACATTTTCCTTTATCTAATGAGCAGATCATACTAGGTAGACTGTAATTATATTATAAATATAGGATTTTATTGTTACCTTCTATAAAAGTAGCTAATCCATCTTTAAGTAATAGGATTCATTAGTTTTTGGTCTCTTTCTATATTATTGTCTATGTGGATCGTTTTTTTCAATCTGTCCGGTGATTGATGGCGCAAAAATAATTATAATTAGCAGCCCGCTTTGGTAACAGAGATAGATATATTTGAAATACTTTCTCCATTACTCTTTCAATACCGAATAATCCGACCTAGTTATCAACTAGTTAACTACAAAATGAAATTAGGTCATATGTAAAGAAAATTAAAAGTATGCTATCTGAAAGACGATTAAAATTCGTTGTGTGATCAACCACAATATTTGACTAATCAAAATATATATAAAATTACGGCATGATATTTTTATAGGTCGTTTTGATCAAATCACTCCTTACTTTAAGGATTGGTAAATTGGATAGCATGCGGAAACCCTTTGCTTACCACCCACCTCGCTCTAAGCATACCTACCCACAGTAAATCTATAGCGTATTAAATCTGAGTATATTTGTATTCCAAATAATATTTGTAGAGCAATATCTGTGGTCTATATATTTTCTTATATTATTCTACTGACGTAATTATGAAGTGGAATCAAATTAAGATAAGTCAAATACAAGAATGTATGAATAGGATTACCATAAATATATATAATGGAGTACTCTGAAGGACTTTCATTAAATGTGAAATATTTAACATGTTAAATGCTTGACGAAAAGTTTAATCACGTTTATAATATATGCAATCTAATATATAACTTTATTGGAACGAATAATGTAAATTTCTATCTATTTAGAGGTGGAGTAACGTTCGTTGAATAATTTACACGTTTCAAAGTAGCAATTTCCTTCCGCCTGTTTAAGCTTCGCAATTTGGTACACCAAGCGAAAACTCGATTTCAATATTAAATTTCAAATTATAATGAACTTAGTCTGTAACTTGATTAAGTTTGCTTTACAACATTATTTAACTTGTTTTTGTTTCATTTTGTGAATAATGTATACATATATATGTACATTGCTGACGACGAAGCGTAGAGAATAGAGATGTGTCTCTCGCTAACAGCTCTCTGTGATATAGTAGTGTTACATGAAAACGTATTGAATGCATCAATCATGTATTGTGTATTTAAATCTCTTGGTCGGTGGCAGACGGGTAGCTAGTAGCTAGAGCGACCCATTTCGCGCACGTTCGATGTTATACTCGCCGTTAGCAGCGGGCATACCAGAATAGACGCAGCACGTGCGTCCGACGCGACAAACGTCGCGCGTGCTGCGCTCTCCCGTCACTAGACGCGGGACATCGCGAGTTTACACACGACAGAAACAAAACTTAACGTTGTGATTTAATAGTGAATTCTCTTCCCTCCGTATTAAAATCGGTTTTATAATAATAAAAAAAAGTTTATTTATAGATCCTTCGTTAATTAAATCGTATATGCTTTCCTATCGTAGTGGCCTTGCACGTTATCTCGCACTCACGAAAGCTTACCGTCACGTTTTGATAGTTGTGATTGTTCTATTTATGTAAAAGAGTTTTCTATAGATGATAAATTGTTAATTGTTGTGTGTTGTTAGAAAATTTATATGTAACGCAACGATGTGCCTTATTCAGTAATATAACATTTGTAACTCTGCTCGTATAACCGACGATAAGTGCGTGTGAGACTGAGTCAGAGCCAAAAATGAAGTGTTGTAAATTCCTTGTGTTTTTGGTGTTTCTGATGCTGCCAGAACCAACACCTGCCTGGAGACCTGATACGTATGACTTATCATTAATTATATCTTACCTTATATCCACTTCTTACTATTATAAAACATCTTATAATAAAGAATGAGATTATATATAAAGTCAGTTGAATATGTGCATAATAATAAATAATAATTATTAGTACCAGCCGCAAGGTTATTAAATAGAACAATATTATTTGAACGTATTCCCTCGCATACTAAAATAAACATGAAGTCCAATTTGAATTCGCATTTCATGTTAACCTCAAGGGAAGTATTTAAGCATATTTGGCTGAACGCTATATCTAAACAGGGATAACTGAAAATTTTCCAGCTTCATAATATCAGTATATGCAAGATCAATCAATTTAACAAGATCAATAATAGCTTGCAATATGTGTCGCTAGATGGCGTTTACACAAATAAAATTTTAAAGCTCCTTTTTTTTATCTACATAACCAGATATCAGTTACAGAATCCAACTAAAAAGTAGCTGATTTAAATTTAACCTTATAAACATTGCTTTTATAAATTTATTTGGGATGTTCCTGTATCGATTATTATCAGTAAGACTCGTAATATACATTTTTTATCAATGAATTAGATTTTTAAGTTATTGTTAATATTCAATAATAAATATTTAAAGGAAAGAGAATATAAGAACTATGGTGATTACAAATACATCTCGTAAAGAAAAAAATGTAAAAAGCGTTCATAATATAGAATTGCTGTAATATACTGATAAAAATTAATAGACCTACCAAAACTTTTTTGAACTTTGTTTGGGAGGAAGGGAAATAACTCTTTACTGGAGCGATACCTAATGGATAGAGTTGTGTTATCACTAATCTAAAATATATGAGGAGAAATGAGTCACATATTCGTACTAACACAACAAAAAAAAAAAAAAACAGACGAAAAATAATTTTGATATCCGCTTGTGATTCAAACAATTATTGTGAAAAGATTTATTTTCTACTTTATATTATCTGTCTTCAAGTGAAAAGAGCTGATTTATTTTAAATCTTACATTTCTTTTGATTTTATAACCAAAGATCGGAATGAAAAAGGAAATGAAAAAAAGGATGAAAAAGGATTGGAAGGAATGTATAATTTGCATAGTTTTAAACACTTCTTGAGTGTTTAAACTTTTCGTTTTAAAATTGTTTGTAAATGAAAATAGTTCATTTACTTGTTTACAAATCTGGAATTTATTACTTCCTCTTCACTCGGGAGTGTTTTGATGGGAAGTTATGTAATGTTATTATGGAAAAAAGAGGGTTCTCGATAGAAGAGAGAGAGTTTAAGATTTATTTTATTTGAGAAAGGTAAAAAAATATATATTTGGAAGTGTTTATTTCAATGTTAAATAAAAATTACTGAACATATAGGCATAGGTCCAATAGTACTTTATAATTTTCAACTACACATTTACCTTTTAAATATTTGATGTTTATTGTAAGCACTAATAAGAAATAATAATTTTTTTCTTAAAGATTTTTATTTAAACGTTCAAATATTTGTTTATTTAAGTTTTGCTTGAAAGTTAGTATAACATAATATTTTTATATAAAATTGCTACAAGTCTAAATGTGCTTAACTTTTTATATGAAGTTATTATAAAGGTAACAACAAAAAGATTATCCCTTATTACTAAAGAGAACAGCATCTTAAATCTAGTTCCCAGACAGCCGAATGTTACATCGTATTTATAGCTTTAATTAAAACAACTTTATTGGTACCCAAAAACATACAATATTACTGGGTTATGGAACACTTTTTTAGTCTCCCAAATAATACAGTATTTGTTATATATCTACATATTTGTCCCCTTTGGGTAGTAACTAAGTATTTATTTAGATTAATGGGTAAGTCTCACTTCTCAGAACAAAAGTATGGAATGGTTTTATATATTTTTTTCGTATCGCACTTGTAATTGCAACTGAAAGATTTAGGAGGCTTATTTGATTCATTGTATTAGAACAACTTCTTAAATCTTAAAATGTGAGAATAATAATGTAACAAATAATAGACAGAAAAAAAAACAGAAATAACATCTTTTTTTTTAAATTAAAATTTCGGAGTATATTTTGCATAATAAATAAAATGATTACTTGAACGAATACCCGGCGACAGTAATTTGGACCTACTTGCTTGCTTACGAGTATGCTGGACTGCCAATCGTTGTTCACCTTAATCTTAGTATTCACTGTAATGCGACATGCAATAGATGGACAAATAAAATTTGTGTGGTTTTAAATAATTCTTAAGTAATTGTAATAACTAGGAAGAAGTTGCAAAGTATTCATTATATGAGATGAAGCAGACATTATTGGATAAGCCCATTGTTTAGTATAAATCTTTCAACAACAAGAAATAGTCAAACTATTATTTTTTGACAAATCGTGGAAATATAAATTATTAATGGCTTGATATACCAAATTTAATGGTTAAATTTATTTAATAAATCGTATTAATATGTACATACATTATTAGAGTGAATTTGAAAAACAATGACTCTTATTTGCTAATGTGATATTCAAATTAATATTTCTAAATAAACGTTTATTTTGTAATTTAATAATGAATTATAATTTTACTATTCTAGTGCCTTGCTGATCTTACATAAAACTCAACTTTAATATAAAAGTAGTTCAGTTTAAAGAAGCAGTCTTCTGAAAAATAACTCTGAAAGCGAAGGCTAAGCATAAAACTTGACTTGTTTGTCGAGTTGCAAAATCTGGTACAATTGTTTGTTTTCTGATAAGTACATTTTTAAAAAGAACAACTGGGAAAATTTAGAAGATATAAATGTTAAGTAGTTTATGCCTTAAAATATTCTTATTATTATGTTTATGTATATATATCTTTCTTAAAAGACACCGTATTCAATCTTCTTCTTCTTCTACCTGGCAATTTCCCAGCTATAGCCAGGGTCTGCCTTACATGTTGTGAATAGTTTTTTTTTTGGCTATTTGTTTTTACGACCGGCCGCCTGCCTGACATCAACCCTTTTTTGGGAATCAACATTAATCAGTGATGTCTAAATACTCTTAGAAAGTACATATGATTCGGAAAAATCACATTGGTACTTGCCCGGGCCGGGATCGAACCCGCGCCCTCGGCGACGAGAGGCCGAGAGGCGGACCCTTTAACCACTGAGCCACCACTGACTAGAAAAAATATAAAGAAGAAAAACTAATTACAAACCATATAGCTATTTCGGTTAATAAAATATAATTTATATAAAGAAGCTATATATTTTATATATTGAACTGACTTTATAAATTTAGTACATAATTTGAAACAAAATCTGAGTTAGAGTAAATAAATTATTAATATTCATTAAAATAGGGTAAAGGAATGGGCGAGAACGTTGGGCGACGAGCTGTGGCGACTCAGCGAATCATTGACAAACTCAGACCAAATTAGAATTGTAAGTATAACTTGTTTAATTAGTAATAATTACTCAATTAAACTACACAATTACATTTACCGAAAATATACCAATATATCTTACCAAAAATATACATATACAGGGTGACTGGTGAATTACTATCAATATTTAAGGAGAATACTCGGTACATGATTCTCATTCGAATTATGTAAAAAAAATAGGTTCTTAATTTTTGACCAAATTTCCGTATAAATAAATAAATAAAGTGTGGACACGTTCCAAGTGTTCCAAGTGGACGCGTGCGGCGGCGTGCTGATACAACACCACGCCGCCGCACGCGTGTGTGTCTGTGTGTGTATACCTAATCTGTAGGGTGTTCACACGATGCGTAATTAATTACATAACTTTTGGTTAACTTTACTTAGAAGTTTATTAATATTTATGTTATATTAATTTTTATTTTGTCATATATGATCGTCAAATATCACGTCCTCAAGTATCGATAGTAATTCACCAGTCACCCTGTATATATTACAGATAGGTCCTTAATAAAAACAGTAATTCACTGTTACGTAGGGTGAAATCGAAAGATTTTATTTGATTATGCATATACGTTGGGAGTATAAAATACCATTATTTATAAAATGTACAAGGATACGACATTTTCTGTATGAAAGACCGTTTTTTGTAAAGACAAAAAAAAGAGAAAAAAGAAAAAAAGTTTTATAATGACAAATTCTGGCTCTTAAAGTCTTTAATATTAAGCGTATATAATAATTATAATTCAACATTGTTAAATAAAATAAAAGTTTGTTGTATCTGTTATCAGAAATGTTATCAAGTTTACCAGGTACCCACTTTAAGCGACGTGAAAATCGTAGCGGAGTGGAGTTTTCACTATAACTGATTTCTATTTCACCTGTTTATTACTAGACTGTGTTTTTATTGAGTGAAACATTAATAATATAATAACCCAACGCTCTAATAAAAATGAATAATTAATGTTCTTTGAAGTCCTTGTTCTATTGAGTGTAAATTTTACAGAAATACAAGCAAATGAATGCTAGTGTGAAGAAAAAAGATGGTAAACAAATTTTGGAGTCCTCATTGAGATCTGTGAGCACGATGCTTACAAGAAAAATCAATGCTGTTAAGGTACGATCGTTAATTACATTGAAACTTATTTAAAGTACCTTTTATATATAAAATCATATTAACTACCAATATATATATGTATATAGAAGCAGTTTGTGTATAAATAAATGTATGTTATTTTTCCTAATAATAATATCAGTCATACCCAATGTAAGTTATATGTTCAGAAATAACCGCTTATTGGAATTTCTTACATTTTGGGACGTCCATATTTTAGTGCATTCATGCGACGGCGGAGCGCTTAGCATCGGAATTCAATTACACGATGATAAAAGACAAAGAAAATTTAGATTTCGAATATTGTTCCGCCAAGTATTCCGATTTTTACTACGAGGATGGTACGAAGCTAGAGAGAAAATTCGATGTACCGAAATTCGCAAAGAACAGTACACATTACACTACAAATAGCTTGGAAAAGGATTCACATTTTTATGACATCAGCGTCAATACAAGCATAAGCTGTATTCATGTTCCAACAAATATTTTTTATCAAGGTAATATTAATATTAAATACGTAAGAACTTTCAGGTGTCAAATATATTATTTCTTATAATTTTTTCGCAGAGGATGATGCACTCGCTGCTATATTGTGGTCAGAGAAGTTGACAGAAGTTTTTACAAATAACTACAAATCCGATCCATCATTAGTTTGGCAATACTTTGGAAGCGCGCACGGCGTACTCCGCTTCTACCCCGGAATGCCATGGAATATCAACGAAATAGATACATATGATTGTAGGGTCAAGTCTTGGTATATCGAAGCAGCGACATGTTCAAAGGATGTCATCATTTTGTTCGATGTTTCTGGATCTATGACAGGTTTTAAAAATTACGTAGCAAGAATAACTCTAGGTTCACTGTTGAAGACATTGTCTAACAATGATTACGTAAATGTATACACGTTTAACGCGACCACCAAAGAAACTGTAAAATGTTTTAAAGGCCTCGTTCAGGCTACACCGGAGAATATAAATACTATAATCAACGCCCTGGAACCGAAGGCAAATGGAAAACATAAAGTTGGCTTGGAAGGAAACGCTAATCTAACTACGGCTTATATCGCCGCTTTTACGACACTTAAAGAAGTAAGTTGAACCAAGAGAGCTTAGGTTTAGAATATATTATGATTATTATTGAAAAATATATGATTACATATTTTAATGAGGGATTCGTTGAAAAGGTACATTTAAAGATTTAGCTCGTATATTTTCAGTATCTTTAGTATTTGTAAAAAAAATTATTATTTTAATATAGACCATATTAAAATAATAATATAGATATTGCTATCTAAGCACGGTCGTTTATAAAGAAGATTATTAAGATGTTGATGTAAAAATAACTCGTTTAATTGAAGCGGGAGAACTTATTTTTAATCATCTTACAAATTTATTCAGTAGCCAGTAAAAAACAACGCTCCGTCTTTTAAATTCAGCCATATTTGGTGCTACAAGCAAAACTTTTCTCATTAGATGTCGTTAAAAAATGTCGTAAAAGACCTTAATACGCTAATCAAAATGATTTATCAGGCTCTAGTTAACAACCTAATTACCATAAACTGGCAAAATAACTGTTCATTTAATTTTAATAAGTATATTACTAGCGATAACTTTAGTTATCTAATTTCCAATGAATAGAGATAAAATAGCAGCACTCTATTCTAAAGCTTTTTTCTATTAGTTATTAGGTCAAGTGCTTTGTGATGTTCTAACGTTTTTTGCTCTTATATAATAAATTTCATGCCAAATGAAAAGTTTTCTTTTGCTTATATGAGAAAAGATATGTAAAAATGGACAAAAAGTGCTGAATAGCTTTATGCGTTATGTTTTAGAGAAGGACAAAATGTAATGTGAGCAGCACACAGGGTTGCAATCAATTGGTGATGCTTATAACGGATTATGTGCCGGGAAATTTGACGGAAGTCTTTGAAGAATATAACAGAGAAACTGTTGGTAATAAAACATATATACCAGTGAGAGTATTCACATATCTCATTGGTAAAGAAGTCACAAATGTCCAGGAAATAAAGTGGATGGCTTGCCTTAATAGAGGTTGGTGCACTATCTATTTTATTTATATGTATTTTGAATTGAATTTCAAAAGGGACAACTTTTATTCTCATACAATATTATAGTATAGATCCACGACTATTTTATATATTATTGTGATTCTAATAAGTATATCCCTACTAATATTATAAATGCGAAAGTAACTCTGTCTCTCTGTCTGTCTATCTGTCACGCTTTCACGCCTATAAAACCACTGAACTGATTTTAATTAAATTGGGTACAGAGATAAAGTTGACCTGGAGAAAGAACATAGGATAGTTTTTATTCCAGACTTTTGAAAGGTTCTCTTGGAAACGCGATATAACCGAAGCGAAGCTGCGGGCGGAAAGCTAGATACACAATATAAGAAATATATTTTTTGATTTAATGTTTATAATTTTCTCATAAAGATATTCTATTATAAAAGATATAATTCCTTGAATCATATTTTCATATACAGGTTATTTCGTGCACATTCATTCAGTGGAGGAGGTACAGCAGCAGGTGTTGAAATACATCAATGTGATCGCTCGCCCCATGATTTTGGCCGGGGAAGATCCACCTCCCACCTGGACTCATGCTGATATCGATTACACGGTAGAGTACCTTGAAATATATCCTTTTATGACTCACTGCAAGCAGCTGTCTCATACAATGTATTGAGGATAAAGCAATATAAAGAAACATTTCCATGTACACACAAAACATTACATTAGTTGAGCTTTTCAAAATTATAAATATGTATTTTATTAAGCTAATAAAACTGTTAAATTCAATAGTAAATATGGAATACAAAACGTTACATTGTTTCTTCATTGCATAATGGATCCATTAGAAATGGAATATTTGAATACGTTTGAATAAATAAGGGGCTGCTTGTTTATCTGACAAGGTTGTTCAACACGCTATCTCATAGATCAATAACTGTATACCAAAATGAATTTTTGTTGTATAATCTCTCCAATCAGATGATAGGTAATCTTTGAAATAAAAATCGATTACTATAACATATTTCTATTCATTCTCTTTTAATAAATAACTTAATTTAGTTTTAAATTTCATAATAAAAGTGATTTATTTTTATGCCACCAGAGAACTGTGAAATGGGACGTGAGTGGAGATGTCAAAAAGGTGAGTAAATGAATTCATTCATATTAAAAAAGTTATATACTAAAATATCATTTTTGTATAGAAAAATAAAACTACAAAATTAAAACTCTATTAACTAAAACAAGACCAATTATATTATTATGCTATAACTGTAGTTACAAATGAAAGACTCAAGAGCCCCTTATAAGCTCCCACGAAGCGTCTAAAGCCTTTTGAGATACACCTTTGAAGCGAGAATGTGTCCCCGGTTTTCTCTATTCTTATGTGAAATGAAAAGAATATAAAATGTTCATTTTCTAAAGGAAAAAAATGTTGGAATAGAGCTATTGCTGTTTTTTATTGTTTGAGTTTTCTTTATTGGAATAGTGTATACATGAGTAATAGTTAATGAATGTGTAGAATTTATTTAACTTAATTTGAAAACAAACTTTACAAAACTTTGGTTACTATTATAGATCATTTGTTTAACGACTTATAAATGGAATAATCTTAGTAATATTTGAAATTTTTCTTACAGCCTGACGAAGATAAATTGGTAGCATCTGTGGCCATACCAGCATTTGATTATAGGAATAATAAATTATACAACAACGCCAAACTCCTCGGAGTTGCTGGTACTGACGTTCCCATTGATAGTATAGCAAAACTAGCACAGCCCCATCAAGTTTGTATAATTTGAACCTAAAATATATACAAGTCGATCTTTCTACTTAATGAGAATCTTGTATTTCAGTTAGGAGTTAATGGTTATTCATTTATCGTGAGTAATAACGGCTACCTTTTGCTACATCCATCACTGATAGCAACGGTATGTATTCGAAAATATCTCATTAGTTTATTCCAGAAATTGAAACATAATTAAGTATATTTTTTTTAGATAAACGATGAACTCCAAGAGAACTATAATAGCGTAGATTTCGTTGAAGTGGAACAAGTCGACGACGGAAAAGGTCCGAGGGAGTTGGGTGAAAAAATTAAAAATCTTCGAAAGAACTTGGTCAATGGAACTGACGGCAGTATGACAAATGTAGAAGTACTTTTTCATTACGATAACATGAGGTATGATAACAATAATAACATTCATAAAAAAACATTTATAATTCCAAAATAAATCCCACAATCACTATCTTAAATCACACTTGATAAAACAATTCGCAATTCAGTCTCGCAGCACTATTTTTTGAGGACAAATAAAGCTATTATTTCTCGAGGAGCACTTCTCTGAATTGTTTGTGGAATTACAATAATAAAGCCAAAAACAAGATTTATTATGACTGTATAAGCAATTTAAAGAAAAGTCTATTTGAATTATACCGAGAAATTCGCTTCCAGACTATTATATATATACACTATGAGGAATTTTGTGTTTTCATCTTATTTATTCATAACTTTGTATTCACAGGAGAATAGCTCGAGTGAAACACGACTATTTCTTCAATAAATTAGAGGGTACGCCGTTTGCTATGGGAATTTCATTACCCATGGGCTATGGTGATACGGAACTCATGCTGAAAGACAATCCTTTGGAAGCTAAACAGGGTCAAGAGCTTCTCGGGGTCAATGTCACGACTTATTTCAATTTTAATTACAGGGTTCATCCTGACTGGTTGGTTGCCTTATAACATTTTTTATTGATCTTTAGTAGTTACTCTAGTCATTGCTTAATTTCCATCGTTGATAATAACATATTTTTCAGGGTTTATTGTAAATATCATTATTTAGAAGGACACGAATCAGATAACGCGGAAGAAGAAATCTTCAAGTTTCTTGTAAATTTATCGAAGAATGAAATAGATATAACTAAAAAGCAATATGATGAAGAAACACAAAGTCTTCCATTTAATTACGAAAGTACGTGAGACAAAAAAATATTATGGTAATGTATTTTCATATTTGATTATTAGTTTTAACGTGCTGTTTTTCTTATAGCACATTGCGGCACTACACCATTAGGTAAGGATGATTACTATTGCAACGAAGATTTAGTCAAACAATTAGTGTTTGATGCTAAACTATCGACTCCATACTTTAGAAGTTGGGACGCCACTCAAGAGGAACGAGATTTGGCTCAGAAGTACAATGTTAGCGTGCGTTTTATAGCTACATCCAGCGGCCTGACCCGTTGGCACTATGTGTTCGAAGATTATAAAAATGAATGGGTCGATGAATTTGGCAATAGAGCAAAAAAATACCAAGACAAGTGAGTATTTATTTGAAGGTCTATCAGTCATTAAAAATAATACAATAACAAAATACGAGACTTCCAATTATCCTTAAATTACTGTGTTATTAGTAAATATAAATATAATTAAATTTTATGTACAGTCTAGAAACATTAAAAGTAGAAATATAATCGAAAAGTAGAAATCGATTTATATATTAAAAAATATCAATTTGTTGTATAGTTTTTCACATTTTTTAATTTCTGTTATTTATAAAATTTCATTTGAGTTAAAGGGTAAAGAAAAACAAGAAAATGTTTCAGTATATAATATATTACCAAGGGAAACCCTACATACATACATAAATTTTAACTGAAAGAATACATATATTTAAAAAATACGCCCATTATAAAAGTCCATTTCTTTCCTCCATCAAAAATAGGTATGGTGATGTTCTACTAATTACGTCGAGATTTAATTAAACTCAGTATTTTAATTAAAAGCCCCGCAAATTCGAGGATTTTAACAAAATGTTACAGACGATTTACGTTTAATGTGAAAATTTCTATACAAAGAAAATGTCAGGTATCTTTAGATTGTTTTTTATTACTTTTAGCGTCTTCGGAGATGATTACTATAACGCTATAGAGGAAACCTGGTACAAAGCTGCTGTTTTGCAGCACATGATTGATAAGGAGTCGTTGGTTATAGCAACAGACCTGTTGATACTCGATGATACGATCAACAACAGGCCGGAGACGATTGAGAATAGTGACGGTGACATCACTGTTACAGCCAGCTATGCCATATTTTATAAAGATGGCAACTCTGAAACTCCGGCTGCAGTTGTTGGATTCCAGTTTTTATATTCCAGTTTTTTTGAAGTTTTTAAAAATATTACAAAATCTAGTCAGGTATTTGACAATGTTCTAACACTTAACACTTCTTTATTTGTATATATGTATATAGATAATTTCTTGCAATAGTAGTACAGCTTAATTTAGGTTAATCTTGTATAAATTTTAAATAGTTTTTATGTTTCAGGAAATAACATGTGGCGATGGATACGACTGCTACTTGATAGATAGTTCAGGCTACATAGTCGTTACAATGGAACATCCAAAACAAAAGCAGGCAAAAGTTGGGGACTTTTTTGGAGCTGTTCAAAAGGAAGTTATGCAAAAGTTTATAGATAACAAGATATTCGACCATGTTGAAGTCTTCAATTACCAAGCGTTATGCCCATTGTCTATGATCAAGGAGCCTAATTGCGCCCTATCATTAAATACGGTACAACATCTAATCAAACTAAATACATATATACATACCTGTTAATACATTATTCATTTTTTTTCTGGTTTTTCAGCCTTTTAGTATCGTGACTACTTTTATAAAATGGTTATTAATGGAAGGCCTCATAATGATGTTTAATATTTTCAAACTTAAACGAATATGCATATTCAGCCACTGTTATAGATACTTATGACAGTTATGGTAAGTGGTTCGTTCGCACTGTTCATATTTATTTGACGTATAAGCCATTTAATCAAACATAATTATTTCTATGTTTCAGTAGATGATTTCACAACAGAGTCAATCCATATACAGATTCTAGCACTAGCACTGAACCCCCAGCAAAGGATACTACGAAAGACAAAGAAAAACTATTCTCATGCGATCATCGCATCACCCTGTATATATTAAACCAGTCTTATTTCCTAGGCAATATGGGTCTTTATCGAGTTGTATCAGACGAGGAGCACGGCGATTGCCATCCGCCGTATTGGGCGTCATTGGTTACGAAAACTAATATGTTATTAGTAGTCGTGCAAGCGGGTCCTTGGGAGTATAAGGATAATTGTGTCAAACCTATGGATACAAAGCCAGAGCCTACAGCGGATTCCACGACGAGTCGCGAGCCGTGTCATAAGCTTGATTTAGGGAGATTAACTCGACGTCGTCTACAGGGATGTTTTACGTATCATGACAAGGTAATTGCATTACAGAAAATATTACTCGAAGATTATTCTTAGCGATTAGCAGCGTTGTGTATTATAATTCTTTTATTAAATAATTCAAGTCTATTACCGATATACACAAAAAAAGCAGTAATAAAAGAGATAAAAAGTATAGTATATTTTTCTTTTTTATTGCTAATTGTTATTGAAAATTATCATATAAAGAGAAAAACTAAGGAATCTTATAGTTAATTTAATTGTTCACAGGAATCAGACATAAACGAATGCGGCATTGGAAGTCATACAAGGGCAGATACAGTTACGTTAATGTGCACAATTTTATTAAGTGTTTATTTTCAAAGATTTTATTCATGATATTTTAAAATTGTAAATTTTGTAGCATCCTATAGATTTTTACCTTACTTTGTATTTTCACAATAAAAGTTATTTATTCTTGATGTGTTTATTTTTGATTTTTGTATTAAATACCTACTAATGGCTCGATAAGTTGATAAGTCTTAAATATTATTTATTCATCCTTAAAAAAAAACGTATTAATAAAAATAGAAGAAAGTTTATTTTTATTTATCAAAATAAAAATTTGTTTATTACTATCATATAAAAGTTTACTGACATGAAAAATTGAACCCTAAAAAATAATAAAACTAGGTCTATATTTAGTTAAAACAATTTATTAATGCCCTTAACACGTTGACCTACAAAATCATATGTTCCAATCGATGCGAATGCAGGTATCTAAATGAAACCACAAGTTTAGCTTCTACAAAACAGTTTCAAGGTGCGAGGGGCTCAGAGCGCATGCCCCTCGTTCATCGCGACTGCGTACAACTATCGACTTAAAACGTTATCAATGTCGAGTTCTTACTAGAACAACTGACTTATATCTAACAATAGTTCAAGAAACGTGCAAAATAGTGTCTATATCAATATGAAAGTGTTTTAATCATACGTAAACAAACGCAGACCAAATTAGACAGTGTTTCTGATGTACGACCGAGCTAGTATTTTCGTATTATTGCTCCTCTTGTCCTTAGATTCACGGGACTGTTCTGCGAGCATACAATACGATGTTGTTAATAAAATATCACTTAATACGTAAGTATCATCGAGATTATAGTTTTAAGGTATTAGTGAGGTGTTAATATGTAAAACACTATAAGATATAGGGTTCATAAAATAAGACACTATTAATTATTAAAAATTATAAATCATTAGCGTTCAAGGCTGGGCAGTTAAACTTGGGACGGAATTGTATCACTTCGGAGAATTTATTACACGAAAGAAGGAAGTACAAGATGTAAGATATATTTGATCTATTGTTAATCAATTTACTTATATTGTTTAGATAAATACAATGTGTTATTTGCATTTAAGAGTTTTAAATCTGCACAAATTGAATCAAGAGATGGTGAGAAACTGGTACAAAATATGGCAGACGATATACGAGCGATGATGGAACTAAAAATAAGTGCCGTAAAACGAATAGTTGAAGCGGCCGAAAATATGGCTTTCGATAAACAAAACGAGATCGTTCCTGAGGATTACCAATTTTACAATAGTAAAGAAATGGAAGATCCCTATGACGATATGTCACTAACTACGACACCGGAGCCTGAGTTTACTATGGAAAATTGGATTATAAGACCTCCCTCTAAACCTGCTCATGTTCAACAGAATCCACACTTTTCTTACATTCCTGTCAATACTAATTTTAGTAGTGTTCACGTCCCGACTAATGTTTACGCTTGGGGTATGTAATTGTTTTTATAGAAAACTTTTATTTGAGTTACAATTAGGTGACTTGTTAACTTGGGAAATAAAATATTTCAGCACCGGAAGTGATAAAAGGCATTCATTGGTCAGAAGGCTTAGATAATCATTTTATTAATAATTATCAAAGCGATCCCACATTATCTTGGCAATATTTCGGCAGTTCGACTGGTTTTATGAGACACTATCCTGGTAAGGGTGTCCTTATATACTCTCATAATAATTTATTAAAACAGATATGCTAAAAAATAGTTTACTCCCTCTGTTGTGTTCAGCAATGAAGTGGCGTGCTGATCCAGTAGACATTTATGACTGTCGCACGAGAGCCTGGTACATGGAGGCCGCTGCCAGCCCTAAAGATGTGGTTATACTGGTTGATCGCAGTGGATCAATGACTGGACAAAGAAGAGACATAGCCAAACATGTGGTCACCAACATTCTAGATACGCTAGGCAATAACGATTTTGTAAGCGTGATGACGTTTGCTGATACTGTGGAAGAAGTTGTTCCTTGTTTTGAAGATTCTCTAGTTCAGGTGAGAAATAAAAACATTAACTAAATAGGCCCTGACTTTAACCATCTCTGCTAACCGTGTGTTTATTTTTTGATCAGGCTACACTTGCGAATGTCAGGGAAATAAAACTAGCATTGGATAATTTTGAAACAATGGAAATAGCAAACTTTTCGGCGGCACTTACACGGGCATTTGAACTACTGGAAATTTATAGGAACAATAGCGGAGGGGCAAATTGTAATCAGGTATATATAAAGTAGTTGACTTAAAAAAAATTGTTTTATGCCGTCGCCGTCTATATTTATGTGGAGGTAAGGGGTTCTAAGTAAAGGGGGCTTTTTTAAATTAATAACATTTTTATTACGAGAACTGTTCAACTCTCCTCTTGATAAGCATTGATTGGTGTTCTATATTTCAGGCTATAATGCTAGTAACTGACGGGGTGCCGTACAATTACAAGGAGCTCTTTGAGAAGTACAACTGGAAGTATGATACTCCAGTCCGAGTGTTCACGTACCTGATAGGTCGCGAGGTAAAGGTAGTACCATTCCAGGTATTACTGTGTGTTGTAGTCATTGTGCGTCCTGCATAATGCCTTCCTTGAACCTGTTACCAGTACACCTTGAATGTGGTACTCTTCTGTCTTCTATTAACCTTAAACCAATGTTGCTTGTTTGTACGTCATTTAAACTGCTATTACATTTCCTCTTTCCATATTCCATTTCAAAACGCTTCGCTTACGAAGATGTCATTGTGTTAGTGTTGTGTTGTTTTTGTATATACATAGTACTTTAAGTTTTTAATTACCTATGTTTACACATCTCTTACTATTTCATATACTTTTTTGTGTTATAAATAATGTATAGATATTGATGACAATTTTTTTTAGATAAAACATTGTTTTGTTATTACTCAATAACATTAATAGAGTCATTAGTGCCTTGGTTACGCTTTCATGGCGATGCATCTGACATAACATCACGCACATATTATTATGGGCAGTTCTTTAATATTTGAGATTATACCAGGTAGCGGATGTCAGAGAAGTGAAATGGATGGCATGTGCTAACAGAGGTTTCTACGTCCACCTGAGTACATTAGCTGAAGTTCGTGAGCGTGTGTTAGAACATGTAAATGTCCTAGCACGTCCTTTGGTATTGCAGCGTGAAAAACATCCTGTAGTCTGGACACCAGTTTATGCTAATGTTACGGTAAATTTTCGTCTATTAACACATTAATGTCAAGACAATAATTTTGTAAAAATTTCATATCAAGTAAATTATCTAATACCAATAGGATCCTAAAGTAGCAGACTATTTATGGGAGCAACGCGAAAGAGCCGAACAAAAAGAAAGATTTATGAGTCAACGGCGAGACAAAGTGCTTTTTAACTCTGAGAAGGAACAATATAGACGATGGAGAATTACTCAAGTAAATACTAATAAAAAAACATTATTAAGAATTTATTTATTAATTGTGTGTCTAATAAAAACGATACAATTACTACAGATGAAGCAGGGTCAGTATAGTGAGCTCGGGAACTCTCAATATCAGTTGATGACTTCCGTATCTATGCCAGTATACGATTTGCGTCACAATGAGGTCAGTTCCCGTTAAATTTCAAGACCGAAATTCTAATTTTTGTGTTCCATTTTTATGTCTTTGAAAGAGAGACCAAATTACTTTCTTTTGAGTATTTATTCTATCAGATACTTATAATCTTATCTATCATCCTATAATTTGTTCTCTATTTCAATTGAACTGAACTGTAAGAAATTTTTCCAAAATTCAAAATTTCTTTTATGCATGTCTGAAATACGTTTTAATGATGTTGAAAATTTTTACAGATTGGTTTATGTGTTTCACTCTAATTGGTCGTATGCTATATTTTTGTCAACGTTTTTTCTTATATCTGTGTCAACTATTGTCATAGATAACTATTCCTTCATAATCTGTTTATGTTATATTGAAGTGCCTTTTAATAATATTCAGTTTTGTTTAACGGTCTCCCCTCAGAACATCACAGAGAATGTACTGATAAATGAAGCTTACTGGGTATCAGTTACAAAAGAGGTACTACACTTAGAAAGTTTTGATGATTTTAATGTAAAGTTTTTGCAAGATAAAAGACATTTTATGATTTAGTTTTTGGATTTCAGTAACGGTAAAATGTTATTTGGCCCCGTTAGCGATGCATCTGTCCTCGATAGATGTTGACGCAGCGCGGTCGTTCTGGCTTGTTACAGTTGCTAGCGACCGACTATGTTTAACCCTTTTGGCTTATTGTAGAATATATAGTAGTTTTATACTAGATAGTAGGCGTAGACCACTAGGGTATGAATTAACTTTTCTATCAGTTACCAAGGTTAATTTTGTGCAAGAATTATGATCTATATTACGCACACTATCCAATCGATAAGACGTTATTTTTGCCTGAATTTAGTGATGTCTTCGTAGAGACATTTTTAAAGATTTACTTATATTATGAAAGTAAATGTAAATATTTTTCATTAACAGTTTCTTCAGCCCGCCATGTGTGACGAATGGGGCTTTTGTTACTTGAGCATTTATTGAATTTTAAGTACTGTATCTAAGAATGAAAAAACTTTTGATATACTAATGATTTTAGTGTAAATATAAGTTTTCTCATTGATAGAGGATATTTTGATTATTGGGTTGTTAAAATGCATTTACCTATATGTTATTAATTTTATTGCATTCGTTCGTCAACAACCAATCGCAGTCCGTAGAGGAGAACGGACAAAAGGAGGTAGGAACACGTTCATTCACTCTCAAACACTGGACCGAATGGAAGAGAAGTATGACAGAGATGAGAGGTTATTGCTTACATTGCATACTTGTCAAATATATTATGAAGTTAAATAATAATACAGTGAAGTTGTTTACATAAGTATATAAATTACAATTTCAACAGATTCAGACAATGGACCGGAAAGATTAACAGGCATCAGCCCATCTAGAGCTTAGTGGGTTAAAGTATAATGAAGTAGTGTTTTTGATGCGATCTAACATATAATTTTTTGATTGAGTAGATTGCTAGAACCTGTAATGATCTACAATTGAAATAGATTTTTCAAATAATAGTAGTTCGTTAAAATTTATATAACCTAACGGGGCGTAGATGCTAGACGAAATATAAACTATTTGCTAGATAAGCAAACCTTTAAAGATTTAATATATTTAGTAGTAATGATACCGATAATAGGTTGAGTAGCATCATAACCATTTTTTATGCATCGATAAATAATAATTAGTTTTAATATATAATCATTACAATTTTCATATAATTTACGTTATAGATTTTTGTAATATTATTAAATTATTGCTTTGTTGTTATATAATATTATGTATTTCTGTTTTATAAAGTATTTGCTGACTGTTTTCAGATGCGTATAGCTAGATTGTTAGGGGTAGCCGGTACTGATGTGCCCCTGTCTGAAATTCAAGCATTGATGACTCCTTACAAGGTATGAAACAAGATTTAATGATCCTGTTTATTACACTACTCATAAATTTACTTTATTTAGAGGCATTTTAGTAATAAGACTTTCTGAATTCACGAAATTTAAATTAATTAAACTTCAAAATTCACTCTTAAAGGAAAAATAATGAATGAATTATATATCGGACAAATCGTGTGAATTCACGAAATTTCTCGAAGGTTCTTCGTAATCATATACTTCAATGATACGCACTCACTGAACTCTCAATTATGCCGTCGTGCGTCCAGACGTCATATTTATACCAAGATTTAAACATAGCTTTGATTTCGTTTTAAAACAATAATCATAAATCTAATGAGGTTTAATAAGAATTGATGACGACCTCAAATTATTTTCATGTCGCATCCGTTATTAAAACTGGTAGCGCCGATATATATGTACAATAAGTACATTTCTATACATAAGATTTTTGTTTTTCTATTCTATATAAAAAGGTTTTGAATGACTTATAAAAGGCATTAAGAGAGTTTTAAAATGTTTCAGGTCGGCGTAAATGGTTACGCGTTCATAGTAACTAACAATGGTTACATACTCATACATCCAGACCTTCGACCTGTTGTAAGTATTTTTAATAATAATTAATTTTTAATAAATAATTAAAAAAGATGCTGAAGGGTAAATGTCTTGTCCCGTAGTCTGCTTCATATTATCCATATTCGGATAATTTAGAACATAATAAAATCGTTATTGTAATACATATTATTTGATAATGTAAAAAACAGCTTTTTTGCGAAATTTTAATTTAATTATCTGATTCAGTTCCAGCAAATTATGAAACCGAGTTATAATAGTGTAGATATGATAGAAGTGGAGTTGTTTGATGATGATCGCAGTCCAAGGAATTTCAGCAAGGAATTAACTGCGGTAAGATAAATAATACTCTTACTACAAGTTCGAATCGTCAAACAGACAGACAGATATTTTTCAGTTTTTTCTTTATATATTGATATTAGAAACAGATTATTTACCTATAGTTTGATATACGAAATCGTGGTAACGGGACAAACTGATAATAATTAATTAAGCATTATTTTGCTTATAATTTTCCTATACTGTACTTTTACAATAATTTTGCTTTGTTTTAGCTCCGAAAAGAAATTATTGACCAAAAAACTGGAAACAAGATCATGAATGTAAAGTATCATATGGATGATATGGTAAGGTTTTAAGCCAAATAAACCTATCTTATTCTATTAAGTTCTATCACAGTCATCCTTTTGTAAGGCTTAATTTTCAATGCCCACAAAAGTTCTCATGAGTCTTGTTGTAGAAACGAGTATCACGAGGTAAAAGACATTATTTCTGGACCGGTATCAGCGATTCTCCGTTCACATTGGTTGTGGCTATACCAGAGAACTATGGACGTCACTGCATCACTCCACCACCAACTGATGATATACATCGATTATCACTTACATCCAAAAATATTTCCGCTCGCCAATATCTGTCTGATAAGTGGAGCGTACATCCAGATTGGTATGCATATTTTTTTTAATCTTATATTAGGTAATGTATATTTTTTGGGCAAAAAATATTCGGTTATGTTATTGTTTGTTTAATATTTAAAAACAATAATTATTAGACATATAAAAGGGATATAAATATACATTCTCATCGGTGTATTTATCATGATCATGTTATAGAAAATTGACCCAAAACTTAAGATCTCCGATAAAAGTGGTTGAGAAGAGGACGACTATTAGGAATATTAAAAACTATTGTTTGTATTATAGCCACGAACATACAAATACAAGATATGTAATTAATGTCTACATGTTGGGACTTGACAACCTTTGTTAAGAAATCACTTTGCTCTCTGTATTTCATATATTTCTACAATATTGTTTTTCTGGGAATATGGTAAATTAATTTCAATTTTATCCTACTAAAGATAGGGGTAAGAATCCTTTGTAAGAAAATATTCAGTTGTTTGTAGATTTCAGTATCTATTTTCTTAACAAACCATATAATCTATTCTCAGCGTCGCGTCTATGTAGTCCTTATAGTAAATTGTGTGAAAGGATTACCCCGTTGTTTACAGTCTTGAATATGATAATAGTTAACATTAATATTAATAACTTAAAACGGATTTGTCTGCAGGATGTATTGTCGTCACTACGAGCGTACTTTTTCATCACCGGAAGAGGAATTATCTTATTTTCTAGAGCGTGTAGCGAAGCCTGGCTGGCGTTGGCCGGCCAAACCACGCCCTCCTGAACATCATAAGAACAAGGGTCATGGACATAGTGAAGGTTACACAGAGGACACTTAAAATTTAAACAACTTCAAGGACCCATATTCGTATTATTATTTGGTCAAAATATTCCTATTAAATGTATTTTAAAAGGGTTAATTAGTTTCGATTAAGATTGTAATTTCTTTAACCATCACTGTTGTTACATCACTTTTAATTTTATAACACATTTATACAATTGGTTGCAGAAGGCAGGAACAAAGCATCAAACGCAACGCCTCGTAACGAGTATTACTGTGAGTTATTTTATTACGTTAGCTGAATACACCTCCTATAGCTTTATACACTTTTATACACATTTATACACCTTCATACACTTTTATACACACTTATTTTTATACACTTTTCCCCTTAAAATGGTTTTTATCATCTTTTAACTAATTAATTTTATATTAAATCGAAAAATTTTATCAGGTGATCACGGATTAATGCAGGCATTAGTTTACGATGCGAGGAATACCGCGTGGTTTAATAAGAGCATATCGGAATCCGCTTCTGACGACAAGGCGTAAGTAGTTTTTGATAAATGTATAGAATATCATTGAAATATAGAGTAAAAATTACAAAAAAAAATAGTTATATAGTATTTTGTGAGGAGCCATTTTAAAAACATTTATACACATAAACGAGCATCTACTAAATTTGTTTTATATGATTAATTCTTATGTCATTGTAATGGTCAAACGAAAATGAAAAATAATGTATTACATAAAATTCATGTAAAAAATGCTATGATCCCAAAAATTCTGTTGATATCTGCCTGGATAGCCCCTTGACAAAAGTGATTGGATTATTACCGAGGTAAAGTATATGAAGATAAATAAAAAATACTTCAATGAATTTAATTAATGTTTAAGTTAAGGTTCCAAAAATTATTCTATTGATAAGTCTGAACTATTATAGTGTAAGTTTATGAAACAATACGACGTTTTAAAAACAAAATTTGTCAATAAAAAAACCGCAACGCTGATATTGAGGACAATGCAAACGTTTACTATGAAAAATAATAATATAAGTGCTCATAAAATATAAGTATTTAGTCGTTAATATTAGCAAATAATTTAATATTTAAGTTCCATAATCCTGCTACCAAGGATAAAGTTCAGGTAAAACTAGTATTTGATAAGATTTTAATGCAGCGTGGACGAGCGTAAGTTACTAAGTTCGTTAATATCGTCTTATTATAATTCATGTAAATATATGCCCCATTCACATATACTACAGAGGAGAAACTTATGATAGACTAATAAGTTTGTATATTTAATTGTTATAAAATATTTGAAGACCCGATTTAGGTAATCGTTTGCATTGTCCTTTTAGAAAGTAATAGAAATCTTGGTCTATGTGAATTACTTAGTGCATAGAACGATATACTTGTACCGCGTCTATTTAAATGTTTAAGCTTCCTTGAGTATCTGCTTTATTTACTTATAGGTTTTATTATTTCTAGGGCTGAATTCATTCAACGTTTCGGATACATAGTGGCATTTTTGGCGACACATAGCGGTCTGACGCGATGGCAAACACATCCACCTAAAGAGCGTGATGATAGGTAAGATATGTATTGAGATATTATAAATGGAAATTACTAAGCAATAGGTATGGAAAGGTATAAAATATAACGATATAATGACAATATATTTTAATAATTCATATGTTTTAAAACCAGTCACTTCAGGACGAAAGCTTTTGTTTAGGATACGTAGTGAATAATATTTTTAAAGGCATCGTCAGAGTTTATTTATCATATTATAAATATCTTTAAGTTTTACTACCGATATGATATTAAGGTCTTAACAGGTTTTTACTTGTCTTAATATTTAAATAATCTCATATCACATTAATAACTATTAATTATTCAGTGTGTAACATCAATTCAGGTAATGTTTCTTTACTATCTCCTAAATATTTTAAATGACTAATAAGTTAAGACTTAAAGTTAATAATTTAAATTGTACGAAATATTTCATCTCTTCTCTAGCGAAAATCGTTGCTATTATTATATCTTTATATCCCTTTTATTTCAAAATCATCCAGGCCAGAATTCGGGAAGCAATGGCCACGAGCGATCGACGAAGTATGGTACCGTCGTGCTGTAGAACATCACTACGTGGACCCTCTCAGCTTCGTGTACAGCATAGACCTAAGTACTGACAAGTTCCCTCTGAACGTATCCTCTGCAATGGTAACAGCAGCACACGCTGTTCTCCACGCAGACGGACATAAGAAAGCGCCTGCCGCAGTCGTTGGATTCAATTTAAACATGAGAGACTTAGCGAGTGGTTTGAGAACATCACCTCTTCGGTAAGACCCCTTCTTATCTACCTGGCACGTATTAAATGATAATTTTATTATTAAATTTATAATTCCCCAGTGCGAACATAACAAAGAGTGTGTAACTTGCACGTCGGATAACTGGGACTGCTATTTAGTGGACAATAACGGTTGGATAATTGTCAGTAAGGATACTACGCAAACCGGTCAATTCTTTGGGAAGGTAATAATGATTAATAAAATTAAAGGAATTTATTTTAAATTTCTGTCAATATAATGAAGTTAGATGTCGAGCTCGCCTTGATGTTGAATAATGAAGCTTTAACATAAAATAAAAGTATAAAAAAACACTTATATACCAAACGGCGAAACGACATATATTTTATGAATGATCTGAATATTGATAAGTTCCATCAAATGTCTGCTTTAGTTATGTTATTTTGAAGTCATAAAAATCTGAAGTGTCTGATTTAGGTATGCATTTGTATTCTTAAGTCTCAACATAAATCTGAAGTAGGCATGTTTTATGTATAGTCTTAAAACGAAACAAAGGAATATGGTATTATTCTTATGGCCTGTATATATCAGTGAAATATAAAAAATAAACCTATTTTTTTACTATATTCATTTATCGAGTATTCTCCTTAAATATTGATAATTTTTATAAAAACGAAAAAAAATTTTTATTCTTATGGCAAATCGTTACTTAGACTTTATTTATTAAAGAATATCAATGTCAAATATTTTGTTTACGTTTATTATCTCATTACACTGTCTTAAAATATATACATTGTATTGATATTTATGTTACAGGTCCGACCGGACATAATGATGAAGTTGGTTGAAGAAGATGTGTTCAAAGCAGTCCATATAATTGATTATCAAGCTGTCTGCTTTAGAGAAAAAAAGACAACGAACCCTGCAACCATGTTAATGACGGTATATATTTGCATTTTTTAACCAGTATGCTTAGTCCAAGTTTGCATTATTATTACATACGGAGAGTTTAGAGACGTTCATTTATAAATCATAACACAAAGTATTAACGTAGGTAATTTATTAGATGAGAAACAAGAATGCTATAATAAGTATGGAGTGTTATATACAAACTTGTACTAAAGATTCCACTATGAAGAAATACAATTCTTTATGTACCTATTTTACATATGTACTGTTTTTTTTTTCAGCCCTTAGAGAATTTGCGAAATATTTTGACATGGTTCGTTACTACGTCAATATGGTTGTACAACACTGTAGCTGTCACTTTGGCTCAAGGGTCTAGTTATTCCATAGACTATGGTAGGTTAAAATTTACATTAATTAATACACATATGTATAATGTTTGAAGGATATAGAAATGATAAAATATGTTTGAGATACTTGCTAGGTCGATGTTGCTCTTGTGCGTTGTCAGCATGGTCTATAGAACTTGCATGACAACGCTCTAAAATCGATTGTTTGTAAACAAAATGAATGTCTATGTAAAAGTAATTTGATGTGCTTTATCTATATTTAGCTGTAAAAGTCTATCTATGTATCACTAATAGCTGAAAAGGCTTCCACTTCCTTCAGATAGCCAAAAAACTATTGTTTAGTACGACAAAAGTGCCTATATATACAACGATTGTATTAATTTTAGCGAGTATTTGACATTAAGTTACAAGGGAAATAGCTATTAATTATAACTTTTCACATAACAACACCCGTTGCACAATTAGGATTGTCTAACGTTGTACTGCATGCCAATGAAAATTGTGATAGGTACTTCTAGTTAGTGAAATGAAATTTCTACATGGAGTCATGAATTGGACGTAGCCAAATATTTTATGACAGTAGTAACGACTCCATCTTGTTTTCAGAGTATGTTACAACCACTGGTGAGTTTTATAGATCGAGCACCGTAGACAGTGGTCAGCACTGAAGATCTTTTGATAAACCTTTTTATCGTTTTAATGCTATAAATTTAGTACATCTGGAATGAGCATGTCGATTAATTTAAATCCGAGTTTTAGTTTAAATTGAATAAAATAACATTTAAAGAACCACAAGTCATTTGCATCTTATTAGTATTTTTTTTAATATCTGTACGTTTAATGCCCTTTTAAATAGCTCGGCTTTGCATGGAAGAATGTTTTGTTAAATTTATTTGCGTCCTTTTAGTAGTGTACTTAAAAAGACTTATCTAATTCTTAACTGGCAACCAACCCTCACCAAAACTATTCAGTCATCTTTATTTGGATTTAATAAGAGTTTAAAAATATTTCTTTTAGGAATTCGTGTGTTTTTTAATAACTTATCCCGCATTTTGGTTTTTATGATCAAAGCTTGCAGATAGGACATTTTTATTGCTAATTAATTTAAAATGTTGCTGTTTTTTAAATATAACATTAAAGTTAATTGTAGTAACAGAAATATTCAGTCAACGTTCTCATATTCGGTACCCACAACGACTCCATCTAGCGAAACCTGTAGTTTTTCGAATTACTTGTTTTGTCCTAAATTTGATTATTTATAAAACCTTTACATGCATGTGAAATTTTATTTTTTGTTCTGAAGTTAACCATAACAGTAATTTACAGTGGCATATCACAATTACGAGAATGACGAAGACACAGATGATCCGTCAATGTCAAAACCTCCGACGCGTATATTGGAAAGAGATTTTGAAAAACTGGTGCTTATAAATAGGACGCGACCAACGCCTTGCGATCGAGAAATGTATCTCTACCAATTAGAGTACAAAAATCTGGATGAGAAACTCAACAAGCCATTGAGGGAATGCGAGAGACCTTTCTATGCTCAATTAGTTAATTACACTAATATGTTGTTAGTTGTCGTGGACGCGATGTGTGCTAAGGTGGAAGTGCCAATATTCTCTATAGATCCCACAGAGGTGCAATACAATGAATCGCTTCCATGTTTGAAACATATGCACCCGCTATACAGGAAGCAGCCTAACTCTTGCATTCGAAACCACACTGAAGTAAGTTTTAAAAGATTAAAGAATTACAGATTTAAAAGAAATTAATAGTTTTCGGATATACTTCGCGACTTTATTTTTGTAAAAAACTACAAATTGCCGTCGTGTCGGCTATTTTTCAAAAACCAAAAAAGATGCCCGTAATCACGGTTGTAATAAAATGTAAAAAAAATATTAGTTTAATTTAAATAAATTAAACTCGCGAATCTTAGATCTCATTAAATGACCAATTTGTTGATATTCTGTATTATTTTTTTTATATTTACAAACTATTTTTTTTCAGGAGAGCAACATCGACATGTGCGGTCGCTGCAGTTTGCTTTCCAAAAGTATCTTATGGATTCCATTAATCGTAATTTTCTTACTTCATTATTCTAGAAATGTTGTGAAATGTTATATAATTTATCGTTAAATTGTCAATAGTTTACGGAAACGTTAATTTATTTACATACAAAGTGTACGAGTTTATTTGTAAATGTACATGTCATAGTACATATCAATATTAAGAAGGATCAACTTTTTCCTATCATATAGAATTTTTCTAAAGTGCCACAACTGGGGCATGATTCATATCAAATAAATTAGGTATTTTAAATAAAAACATTTTAAAATTTAGATAAATTCTATTATTAAATATCTCTTGAGAATATTATGTTTTTGTTATTGAGCAGTGTTTTTGCCCGTCCTAGACATAAACTTTTAATTACAGATTTTCATGTCTTACTAAGTACAGTTATTTGAATCTCATAATATAATTATATATATAAATATTATAATTGTTTTTGTAAGAAAAAAATGTGATTTATTTGGTACAAAATAAATATTTATTGTATTCTATTTGGGTTTTTCTACATATCAACACAAATCTTTTAGAGGCCAGATATATATTGTGAAGGTTGTTTGCCTAGCTTTTGGCGGTTTCTGTTTTATTTTTGTTAATTAATTCATTGACATCGGCCATCAGAGCTTGGTATTGCTGATGTCTAAGCAATGATTCTTGTAATATCTCTAATTGTTCTCCACCTTGCATAAAAGTCTTTAAACTATGAGTAGTACCACCACCTTCTCTATGCTCGGTAACTCTGTCTTGTGGATAATTATAAGTCCTTATCTTTTCATTTCTATTACTCGAACCAATCTGAAAATTGACATTAAATAAGGTTAAAATCAGATGTAAATAGTGCATACATTAATCTTAGAACAATAACATCTTCTTTGCCTATTCCCATGTTAGGGCGAGTCAACTTTTACAATAATAACAATTTTAAAAATTATATTTGTAATAAACTACCTGTGATTTTCTCTCTTTATTAATTTTAGATGTTTGTGCCTCCTCTTGCTTCTGTAGTAATAAAGTTTTCAACTTTTGCAATGCAATTTCTTTATTTTTGATCTGTGATCGTCCTTCTTGGCATTCTACGACCGTGCCTGTTGGTAAATGGGTTATTCGAACAGCACTGTCTGTAGTGTTAACATGCTGTCCACCAGCCCCACTCGCTCTTTTAGTCTCAATATTAAGATCTTTATCAGCAATAGTTATCTCTATATCTGTAGCTTGAGGTAATACTGCTACTGAGACTGTACTAGTGTGAATACGACCTCCCTTCTCAGTCGCAGGTATCCTCTGAACTCGGTGTACACCAGATTCTATTTTCATATACTCCGGTGCCCCATAACCAGCCACTAACATGGATCCCTTTCTTATTCCACCGATATCAGATTTTTCAATGGATGCAACATCAACCTCCCAGTCTTTATACTCACAGTAAGATTTATAAAGATCAAATAATTCTCTGGCAAAGAGCATCGCTTCCTGTCCACCAGCGCCCGCTGTTACCTCCAATAGTATACCACCATCAGTCAATTTTGGTTCCAATAAGACCGACTCTAATTCAAAATCGATTTCTTTTATACGTTTTAAATATATAGCCGCCTCTTCCTTAACCATCTCTTTTATTTCCTCATCCTGCCCGTCACGTTTATTTAATTCCTTCAGTGATTCAATGCTATCGTAAAGTGCTATCCGCTGCTCAAGCACGGTAACGATGGGTTTTATTTGATGAAGTCGTCTGATTTCTTCTGGGTTACGACGTGATTGTGTATGTAAATTGTCATGTTCTAACATCAAATATTTTAAATACGCCTGAATTGCGGGATCTGACAAATTGATGTTTTGCGAGGAGTAGCGCCGGAGACAAGATACATTTGCTTTAAGTTTATATAAAGAACGCATAAATGTAAATCGAGAGAAGGACATTGTGAATACCAAAAATATATTTTTTACATGTATAAGCAAATTTTTTTTAAGTTTTTTGTTTTTTATACAAAATATTTCCCAAAACAATTGTCCATAAAACCTTCTTTGACTTGTCAAATTCAAAATACAGACAAACCACAAATGTCAAGCTGTCATATTAAAGTTTTTTTTTTGATAATATGGCAATCCCGTCACGTTGCCAGTTTCGTGTATTAATATAGATTAGATATTCATTCACTTACATATGTATACTTTTTATTTTATATTATGTCTTTATTCTCACTGAAATTGTAGGTATTAATTGAGTAAGGTTCAAATAGTTGTAAATTATGATTCAATATAACCACAATTCAAATTTGTAAAAAAAATATATGATAAACTATTGTTTTAAAACAATATTAGTGTCTTTAGACATTTTGATTGTCTAAATAAAAAAATGTATCTATAAGTAATTCATATTACAATTTAGATATTTAAACAGATAAAAGAAAGTTCGAAGTATGTCAACAAAATACCGCCATCTGTAACAAAATAAATCACTTTTTAAATTTTTGTTTGTCATACAGATACTAGATGGCGGGCTATTTCTGCATGATAGTTTGAATCACATTATAAGACATTTAAACATTATACTTAATTATGAATAATAGTATTCATTTTAATATGGTTTATTTATTTTTTATCGTAAGCTTTATTAAAACTTAATAGGTTTAAAATACTAAAAAAAAAACAAATCTTAGTACTTTTATTTCCATTGTTTTTTCTAATTTTTCAGCTAGGGCTAATTATTTCGTAAATATGTAGTAGGGAATTTTCGGATGTACATAGTTAAGTTGAATATATAAATGTGTTTCTATGTTATACGTAATATTAATTTGTAAATAATATTTTTTATTTCATGAAATCTGTTTACAGTTACACTTGTTTTCAGTCTTAAGTTCACGACAAAGAAATATTTAAATATTATTAGAAAACCTTAAACTTTTTACAACAAAGACCTACATTTATTTAGGTATATTTTATTAATAATAGGATAATTGCATTCTTTTTACTATATGTTTATTGATATTATATTTATGTTTTTAAATTTAAGACCCGTGAAATTCATTTATACCTACAAAAGGTAAGTACATCATTTTTAATATGAACAATATAATTGTACATGTCAAAACGTTATTCCGTAAAGAAGAAGCATTGTACATCTTGCAACTAACATACTCGCCGCTATAAAATATTTATTATTAATTATTTGACCTTTTCTGTTGCATGCAGCTAATAACGAAACGTTTCTGTCAAAGGAAACCGGAAAGTGAATAATAATGGCTTACAAATTTAAACATTTCTTTAGACGCGCGATTACCACGTCCACCGCAATTCATCTATTGATAGAATTATTAGGCAAAAATTATTTTTTATAATAAAAACCGCAAGGACATTTCGTTATCGACATTCGCGCGTGCGGTTGTTAGTGCTAATGACCAACGGACAAATGGCCATTGTTGTTCTTGATACCAAAATTACATCCTTGGTTTTATATAAAATTCAATTATAGGAAACTTTATATATCTATATATAGCTAAATATACTTCATATGGTCAAAAAACTAAGTACTTAGTGCTTTTTCAGTAAACATTCATACAATTAATTCTATTTATCATTCTTCTGCTAAAAGAAGGTGTGGGTGGGAACGAAAAATATAGTATAAAAATAGCAAACAAATTAGTAAGTAGTAATAACTAAGTCAGGTCATTAGTGCTTCGTAATCTGTTATATTTTGTGGTTACTGTGCGTGCTACATTTTTATTCAAATGCGATTTTTATATTCGATGTTGGACGATTAGATTAAGCTAGCCCATTAAATACTACTAACTTGCATTACCAAAAGCAATTTTCTTAATAGGTTAACGCGATTCATTATTATCTTAAAAAAAACTCATACGAACTTTAATAGAAGTTAGTGTTTGGTTCCATTTTAAAAAAACTTAATTTGTAAGTAGGTATGAACACGAAACTTTTCAGAAATTCAGTATTAATCGTAATTACAAATCAAAGTAACGTCTTTATCAATATTTTATGAACAAAATATACTTTATCTATGGTTATTATTAGAAAATATATTAATAATTCGACCATGGCGTGTTCTATTTCAAAACTTGATATAAATTAAATTGATTGTCATTGTTTGATGGCTGTAACTTCAAATAATCGATGCACTGCATCAATTACACACTCGTAATATAAGTTGCAAATGACACTGCACGTAGTAGCTACATTGTCTAACTCGTTTACTCAAACGGCATTCAATTAAATTGATATCAAGCTTTATATGATAATAGCGGCTAATACTGTGTAATAAAAGGAATTTTCCAAGTTAAATACCTATGTAATAATGAAATAATTTTCTACTTTAATAATTGTTCTATGTAATTGAAAATTTTATGTCATAATTTGAGTTACAAAAGCTACGAATTGCATTTATATTGTATGAGCTATTTAGAGATGATTTCGGTACACAATAAAGATTTTATATATTGAAAAATTATCCTCAATTGAATAGTTAAAAGTCATGATAAATGAAAAAAGTCATGAAACGCTTCATTAATTCTCTAAAATTATAATCATGATTATATTAATGGCACAATATAAACAGTATGCACTTAAGCATCTAACGCCCAAGTATCATACATTAAATTGATGAGGGAATTTGTCTTGTCAGTAACTAAAGAGCATGCCAGTTTGATTAAAAATGTCTTCATACAAGCATGGAGTATACGGTACATTAGTTTTTAGATGTTTTTGCTATAATTAGTTAATAATGTTTAGGTCTTTAAAGGATATTTGTTTCTTGACTATTATTAGCTAAAAGGCACATTTTATTACTGTAATTGTGGGAGGAACTTATGTACATAAATAGATATTATTGGACAGCATATTTTTTAACAGAGAATAGTGATTCACTGCAGTTGGACCTACTAGAAACAATATATTTTAGTCTTTCTTTTATTAATCTTCTATTTCTTTTAAGTCTTTATCGTAATGTCTTATTTCCTAATCAAAAATATTTTACGCGTTCAACCTTAAAAATAAATATTTGGTATTGTGTTAGAAGTTAAATATCTTACATATAATTATGTGAAAGGATCAGTATCATTCAAAGACGTATTGATTACAAAAATACAGTCAATTTGAGCGTTCAAATCTTTATCAAGATTTTAATAATATATAAGTATTTTTTTAAGCCGTAACTCTTAAATCACGTACATCTAAATATATACAAATTAATAAAGCTTGTAAAGTAAATAGCCTATAAGTTACGAGGCATTCCGAGGGAGGGCATTAGTCTTGGGCCATTTGCACAGAGTGCTTCTCGCACTTAGCCTAGCCACTTAAATAAATATCGCACGTTTGAGCAATATAACCTAGAGGTTAGAACATTACTTCACACTTACATATTGTGCCACGATATTTATGACTTGTATTAAATAACATAGAAATTGTTATAAATAATGAAATAGTTTTAAATCATGGACAGTCATACATAAGCGATATTTATGTAGCTTAAATTAGTCGTATTGTTATGGCAATAATTTCGAAATAAAATAATGATTAAGAAAGCCTTTATAAACTTATAGATTAATTGGTTTTCTATTAGTAGTGATAGACGTAGGCATATATGCATGTTCGCTATCCTTTCTTTTCACAACTAAAGAAGATATTAATTAAGACAAGTTATTATATATATAACCTTAAGACTTAAAACACAATTTGAAAGCAAATCCTCGTACACATTCATGGAATAGGATCTGCGGACAAACCAAGAAAAGAGAGTAGAACCAAAAAGAAAATAGAGAACAATTAATGTTAATAAATATAGTAGGTATATATGTAGGTACAATTTATTTATGAGCTCTTTTGGTTTCTGAATATCTATCAAATAATGAATAGATAATAATATATGAGAACTTTTGGTTACTTGAATAAACAACATTCTTGATCATTTATATTATTCATTGGCAAACATTACAATAAAATTTATATTGATAATTTTACAAATAATCTAAATAAACTTCAATAAGATAAACACAATTTATTATAATATATGCTTAGTCTTCCATCGTTAGTACGTACGAAACCTTTGCTTTCTCATTCAATAACCTACGTTAATAACATTAATAAGGGAATTTATGAATGAAAAACTATTAAAGCTCCGTATATAGCGTCCCAATGACTTGATGTAAGCATACATAACGTGTTACTCTTTAAAAACTGTTCTATTATAGTCCTATAGAATGTATGAAATATAATTGCCTCCTGTTCAACAAAAACACTTTTCGAGAAAATATTGTTAGAAATGGTTTAGGTTTAAACTGTCTATTTTTATAATTTTTCAGTAACAAAAATTATTATTCAAATTGTCATACAATTAATGCACTACTGCTCAAAATTTATGTAACGTATCTATGAAAATAATAATGTGTTTATAAGAAGAATAAGAAATAAAAACGGAATAAATTCTCATAATACTATGTAGTAACAACAAAGAAACAATGGATTGTAAAATCCTTGTAATTGGACGTTTAGAGAACAGTTGGGCTATAATATATTTCTATATTAAACTTCCGATACAAGCGAAACGATGTCTCCGAATCTGTCTTCCCCCAGCGGACGTAACTCCATTTATTTATGGCAAACCAAAACATTTACCCTATTATTATTATGTTGTTACGGCTGTATTAAAGTGCCATAAAATTTATGATGCTTGCAAAAATGTACACAGACAAATTTGTATCTAGTTTCTATAACAATAGAGTATGTTTTTGTTTGTTGTGTATTAGTGAGGGTAGGATGACAAACGCGACAGCCACGTCCCCTCGATTACTGCGAGGCGAGAAGTCTCCGTGACGCGACTCAGCATATTGTCAAAACTGGGGGGACAATGCTAAAAGGGGTTTCCTTTGAATGGATACGTGGCAAATTGATTTTGATTAAATTTTCTTTTT